TGCAGGTATCTTTTTTATAGAGTGATTTGTGTTCTTCAGGGTATATTCCCAGTAGGGGGATTGATATACTATTTTCTTCCTAGTACTATGAAGTATTACTTCGACAGTCTCCAGTGGAGCCCTGCTTTCTGTTTCATGAAGGTGGATACTGGTGTGAGCTCACAGTCCACACCAATAGCCAAGGGGACACAATGGCTATTATCACTTTCCATCCCCAGAAATTAAGTCAAGTGAGCTTCACAGGATGATAAGGGGCAGCTACTATAGTGACCTAACTATTACTATGCTGTAATTGGTTTTTGGAAGATTCAGGGTAGATAGCATAAACTATACATCCATAGAATATTTGTGTTGATTGAGGAAAGGAGTTGGGGATTAGGAGGAGAAGATGGCAAGGATGCTATTTAACCATACAGCTGGCATAATCAAATTACAGACAGTGTGGCTAGGTTACCAAGTTAATTATCATGTGATGACTCCCAAGTGTTTTCACAAGAATTTTGCCCACAGTAGTAGGTGCTTTTCTGAATCCAAAAGCGAGTTGAGTGGAGATTAGGATGTCAGAATTTCATAGCCCAAATAATTCTTTGCATTTGCATTGGATTTAGAGCTTCCAGATATTACCATGATAAAACATTTCTATACTTATGTGATCATTTTACCCAACTTGTGTAGTAGGCAGGAGGAGAGGTGTTGTCACTCTCATTTTATAGATGAGCAAATGGAGGCTTAGAAATACCCAAGGTTAAAGAGCCAGTAAACAGCAAAGTAGGATTTAAATTCAGGCCCTTTAATTCCTGGTCTGGCATTTTTAGCTCTATAGTTCCTACATGGGTTATTGTGAAATATCCTTGTATCAAGCTCATGCTTAGGCTCTCTGTAGTGATATATATAAAAAAAAATTTTAAGTCGGGATCTCACTGTGTTGCCCTGGCTGGAGCACAGTAGCACCATCACAGCTCACTGCAGCCTTGACCTCCTGGGCTTAGACGATCCTTCCACCTCAGGCTCCAAGTAGCTGGGATTGTAGGAGCGCACCACTGTGCCCAGCTAATTTTTTTTTTTTTTTTTTTTGTAGAGATGAGGTCTTATAAATTGCCCAGGCTGATCCCAATTCCTGGGCTCAAGCAATCCTTCTGCCCTAGCCTCCCAAAGTGCTGAGATTATAGGTGTAAGCTACTATGTTCAGCTGGATATAAGAATTTTTAAATGTTCAGAATTTTAAAAAAAAGTGTTTAGCTACCATGCTCATTTTCTTCTGTGCTCCCCCCAACCACCTTTATTTATTTATTTATTTTGAGTTGGAGGCTCACTCCTTTGCCCAGGCTGGAGTGAAGTGGGACACACGCTCATGACCACCCCAGCGTTGACCTGAGCTCCAGCAATCCTTCCATCTCAGCCTTCTGAGTAGCCGGAACTACAGACGCATGCTACCACACCCGGCTATTTTTTATTTTATTGTAGATACGAGGTCTTGCCAAGTTGCCTGGGCTGGTCTCGAACCCGTGGGCTCAGGCAATCTATTTGCCTCGGCCTCCCAAAGTACTGGGATTACAAGCAGAGCCACTGAGCCCTGCCTGTGCCCCCTCTTTCTTTTCTCCTAGGATTCATGTCTTCTGAGGTGGTGTTTGGGTGGGTGGTTGGAATGCCTGGTGGAGAAGTATAAAGTAAATTGAAAGGTTATTGCCGGGCTACCCCCTTGGGTCCCTCCCACTGTGGGAGCTTTTCTGTCCTCTCAATAAATACTGGTCTTAAAAAAAAGAAAGGTTGTTGCCTCTTTGTGATGGGACAGAAACTTAGTTTAGCTCCTTATTTACAACAAGAATAACTTTCACACTTTATAGAATTATTAGAGGTTGAAACTAGAGAAAGTGCCAATTCTATAGTACAGGATTTGTCAAAAGTTGATAAGAAAAGGAGCGCCTCTACTGAGATGTGAAAATAATATGTTTTTTATTTTTGGCTTAAAGAACATTGCTTTATGTTAAATGTTATTTATAATAGGATCAGGGAAATGTAGAAATGTGTTTTCTTGTCTGAATACTGCAGGGCCGATTACTTGGAGAGAAAATTTGTCAGAGATGAGTCTGCGTGACTACTGACTTTGTGGTCTAGGCAGGAGGAGCTCCGTGTTCAGAAGGAGACTGTAAAGGAATTTTTCATCAAAGGCCCTTGTGACTTGACCTCACTTTACTTCCAGGAAAGATAAACAGCCAAACAGCAAGTAGAAGCCTGAAGGTTTGCCAGAGTCTTAGTTTGTGGATTGCTGAGGCAGGGCTGCTGATTGATAGTGGAAGATCTGGACTAAGTGGTTCTGGCCCTTGTATACCAGCCAGGTCTTGGAACCCAGGCCAGAATGTAGATGAGAGAGTGTCTGCATGAGCTTCCATCCCCTGAGAGGGAAACTCCTGCAGAGCTCACAGGACCATGGCAAGGAACCTGTGTCTCCTAGTTGAGATAATGGCACCTTTCCTTTCAACCAACCACTAAAGATGGAATGGTCTGCCATTCCAAGATGCTTTCTTCTTTTATTCTTTTCCAGCACCGTGACCCGTTGCAGCCATCAGCAGTCCCCTTATCATCTCCTATTTGGGGAACCCCATATCTTTGAGGATCTCCTGGGTTTAAAGATCCGCATCTCTCCAGGTGCCTTTTTCCAGATTAACACTACTGGTGCAGAGATGCTGTATTGGACTGTGAGGGAGCTGAGCGGAGTGAACTCTGATCCTCCTTGATATCTGCTGTGGAACTGGCAAGTGGCAGCCCAGGGCAGAATCTTCATGCTGCTTAGCTCTCAGGGCCCCTGAAGCTTGCAAGCATGAGTGGGGAGCGGTAGTGATTGTGATGCAGGCATAATTTTGTTGGTTTAAAACTCTAAAACGCCCTCCTCTTATTCTCTCTTACTTTCCTAGGTGTGATCAGCCTTTCTCTGGCTCAGCATACATCCCAGACCCTTGGGATTGAGTTGGTGAAGCAGGCAGTAGAGGATGTCAGGTGGACTGCAGCATTCAATGGTGCACAGCTTATAGTCTGGGGAGAAAATAAGGGATGCAGTTGTTTCTGGGTTATGGAAAAGGTTTGTGGGAAAGGGCAAATACTGTATCCTCAACCACAGGGAGGAAGAGAGAGGGTTCTAGAGTGGTCAGAGTTGGACCTGGATGGTTTTCTGGAAAAGATCTCAATATCTAATCTCCCCCCCCACACCCCGCCATCCAGAAGAGAAGCCCCAGGGAAGGAACAAGTCTAGCTGATAAGAAGGGACGTGGGAAAACTTTAGATAGAATAGAAGAAGAGCCTTCCTGACATTGGACTCATGAGGTAGCCTAGCATAATACTATAGGTTTCAAACCGATATTTTCAGCAATAAAACCTTTTCTTCAAACTCTTTTTTTTTTTTTTGAGTTGGAATCTCAGTCTGTTGTCCAGGCTATAGTGCAGTGGCATGCTCACAGCCACCCCAGTGTTGACCTGCTGGGCTCAGGCGATCCTTCTGCCTCAGCCTTCCAAGTAGCTGGAACTACAGGCGCACACAACCATGCCCAGCTGATTTTTTTTATTTATTGTAGAGATGAGGTCTCGCCAAGTTGCCCAGACTGTTCTCAAACCCGTGGGCTCAGGCAATCCCCTCACCTCAGCCTCACAAAGTGCTGGGATTGCAGGCTTGAGCCACCACGCCCAGCCTTCTTCAAACTCTTATGCCAAACTGCAATATAGAAAACATGTCATTTTGTCCCCACTACCCCACCTCTAGACAGCTCCTGAGGCACTGTGAAAACAACTGATATAGCAGGAAGAGCACTTGAGTAAAAGTCAAGGTTTTCTTCTTGGTATAGGTACTTACATGCCACGTGAGTCGTTAACTTGTAAAATAACACCAGTCTCTCAAGCTGAAAGGCTTACTGATATATTCCAAGGGAAGGTACTTTGGAAAAAATGAAGCAGGTCCAAAAGTTTTTCTGTCATTGTTATTTGGAGGTATGCTAGATCCAAAGGGAAGATGGTAGAGCCCTTGCTCCTGTCTATTTCTGTAAAGGTGAAACTTCCCTCTACTGCTAGGCTTGAGTTATGTAGGCCTCTCTTCCACTGTGAATTTCACACTGGTCAAGCAGAGAAGATTTTGCCATGGCTGCTAACGTCAAAGGGAGATGGGCAGTTAATCATTGCTGTGGTGAACCTAGCCCCTGCTGGACTGCATAAGGATGAATAGCTAGTTGAATGTTCCCAGTGAAATCCACCAGCTTTGGTTCTTCATTCCTACACCATGCTAAGTCTGCTCCCAGTGGGCTGGCCCTGAACCTGCTTCTCCTCTATTCCATTTTTTTTTTAAATGTTTTGAGACAAGATCTTGCTCTGTCACCCAGGCTGGAGTGTAGTGGCATGATCACAGCTTACCAAAGCCTGGACCTCCTGGGCTCTGCTGATCCTCCTGCCTCAGCCTCCTGAGTAGCTAGGACCATAGGCACTGGCCACCACACCTCTAATTTTTAAAAAAGTTTTGTAGAGAAGGGGTCTCACTGGGTTTCCCAGGCTGGTCTCAAATGCCTGTCTCAAGTGATCCTTGTGCCTTAGCCCCCCAAAGTGGTGGGATCACAGGCATAAGCCACTGTGCCCAGCCCCCTCTTCTCTTCTTAACCAATCCTAGGTTCTAGTCAGTTGGGAGTTCGTGAAAATTGAGGGTAGTGGTCCAGCAGCCCATCTTCGCGAAGTCTCTCCGTGCAGCTGCCTGTAGGCACCCGGTCCGTACCCTGCCGCTGTCAAGATGCCCAAGAGGAAGGTCAGCTCCACCGAGGGGGTGGCGAAGGAGGAGCCCAAGAGGAGATCAGCACGGTTGTTGGCTAAACCTGCTCCTGCAAAAGTGGAAGCAAAGCCAAAAAAGGCGGCGGGAAAAGATAAATCTTCAGACAAAAAAGTACAAGCAAAAGGGAAAAGGGGAGCGAAGGAAAGCAGGCTGAAGTGGCTAACCAAGAAACTAAAGAAGAGTTCTGCAGAAAATGGAGAAACTAAAACCGAGGAGAATCCAGCCTCTGATGAAGCAGGAGAGAAAGAAGCCAAGCCTGAATAATATCATATCCCATGTCTTATCAGTGGTCCCTGTCTCCCTTCTTGTACAATCCAGAGGAATATTTTTTATCAACTATTTTATAAATGCAAGTTTTTTAGTAGCTCTAGAAACATTTTTAAGAAGCAGGGAATCCCACCTCATCCCATTTTTTAAGTGTAAATGCTTTTTTTTAAGAGGTGAAATCATTTGCTGGTTGTTTATTTTTTGGTACGACCAGAAAATAGTGTGGGATATTGAATTACAGGAGGCTTTGACTGTCTTGGGTATCAGCTTAACATTCCATAGATGGGGGGTTAGTTTTTATATCCTATAATGCAAAGTATACTAAGTGGCAATATGGATCACAGTCCTGCATTTAATGTCTTGAACATTTAAAATTACTTCTATTCCCATGTTGTTTTTTAGTAGAATTGTTTCCTAAAGAAAACCACTCCTTGATCATGGCTCTCCCTATCAGAATTGTGTGCACTCTGTAACATCTTTGGTCGTAGTAGTCTTGTTTTCCTGATAACTTTGTTAATGTGTTGTGAAAGATTGAAAAATTGAGTATGTTATGTATATGATAAATTGTGAATTGGTGAAATGTATGTAGCAGCTTATCAACATTTGAAGATACTGGTACTTGATATCCTCTTAAGGAAAATTTACCTCCAAATTTTAAGCTAGAAAGTCACTGGAATAACTTTTAAAAATAACAATACATGGCTTTTTTGATTTTTGGTACGTATGTTAAGAGCTGTGTACAAATTGAAATGTCTGTGTACTGATCCTCAACACAACCAATAAACTCAATTATGAAAGAAAAAAAAGAGAAAATTGGGTCCATGATGGTTTAATTATATTAGTAGCAAGGTGTTTTTTTGATCAGATTACAAGGTGGTTCAAGACATTTGAAACTGCAGGGCCATCCACACATTAGTTTTTATCTTCTGCAAGCTCCATGGTGAAACCACAAGGAACATCATTGAGTGAGTCTTGATTTCTTTTTTAAATTATTTTTTTCCGATTTTCAAAGTAATCCATGTTCATTATGCACAATTTGGAAGCTGCAAAGAAGTGTAAAGAAACAAAAAAATATTATACCACCTTTAACAGTCAATTATAGGGCCAGGTCTAGGGTGAGGCAAATCAGGTACTCAGTTCAGGTGCAAAACTTAAGAGGGTGCCAGAAATCTCAGTAACCAAGATACATTCTTAAGGCAATATTTTAAAAAATAAAAATCTTCAAAATTCACAATAAACAAAATATTTTAAAAATTATTTTAAAAGTGAGATCTGCCCCTGCATCACTGCTTTACCCTATATTCTAGCTTTGGTTTCAGTAAAACTTTATTGATCGATTGATTGAGACAGGGTTTCACTCTGTTGTCCAGGCTGGAGTACAGTGGCAGGCTCATAGCTCACCACAACCTCGAACTCCTGGGCTCAATCAGTCCTCCTGCCTCAGCCTCCCAAGCAGTTGGAACTACAGGTACGCATTACCTTACATGGTTAATTTGTTTCTATTTTTAGTAGAGATGAGGTCTCCTTTTGTTGCCCAGGCTGGTCTTGAACTCCTGGACTCAAGCGATCCTCCCACCTTGGCTTCCCAAAGTGTTGGGATTACAGGCATGAGCCACAGCTGATGAAATTTTATTTATCAAAGCAGATGACTAGCCTAAAGACTGCAGTTTTCAAAAATTTTGCATCAACATATTATTTGTCTTGTTTACTGAGGTTTTTGACATCCTGTTAAATTTTGCACCCAATGTGAGTACCTCTCACTTCACTCTGGTTTTGGCCCTGGTCAGCTCTTTTGATTTTGAAATGTTTTCTATATGTAATTTTCTCTCTTTCTCTCTCTGTCTCTGTCTCTGTCTCTCTCCCTCTCTCTCTCTCACATAAGTAATATAATTTATTTGTAACATTCGAACAACATAGGCATGTATACAGTACAGATGATATACCTAAGTGATGTAAGTGAGAATTAAAAGTAAATATATATGATTATTATTTGTCAATATAAAAAATAAATGAATTGAGCTTTCAAGTCAACGGGCTAGAAAAAGAACAATAAACATACAGGAAACTGAAGGAAGAAGTCAATAATGAGAAAACATTATAAGTTAATGACTTACAAAATGAAAGACCCATAGACCTAACAAGTAAAAAAGAATGTGCTATTGGAAGAAAAAAAGATAAACAAACCTAATCAAGAATATAAAGGAGCAAGCTACAAAAATATAAAGTCTTAAATGGGGAAAAGTACATAACAAATATGAAAATTTGTTTAAATTATAAGAAAATACTTTGTACAGCTCCCTCCAAATACATTTGAAAATCTAGATGAAATGGGTGATTTTTCTGGGAAAATGCAAATAGCTTATGTTAATTCCAGAAGATATAATAAACCTAAATAGACCAGGAACCATGGAAAAAAATTAAGTTGTCAAAGAGCTTCTCCCACTCAAAAGCATCAAATCCAGATGTTTTCACATTCTTATTTCCTTGTCTGTTTTTGCATACTCTTCCATCTGTCCTTTATTTTTATTATACTGTTTTAAAAAGTTTTTTAATGTATGATAAAGATGGCATCTGAAACCAGAGATGGACTATTCAATAAACAATTGTAGACAACTGTATAGCCATGGTGAAAAAAATAAAAGTTGAGTCCATATCGCACACTGTAAACCAGGATAAGTTACAAACAGGTCAAAGATTTAAATGTAAAACAGGGAAGCCATAAATACAACCTAGGGAATCATATAATGTCTTTATAATCTTGAAGTGCAGAAGCCCTTTCTGGCAGTGAAAATTCAGAAGCCATATAATAAAAGGTTGTTAAAATTGATTACATTAAAATAACTTCTCCCTTCATTATACTATACACAGAAATGAATTCAAGTTGTATTATAGAACTAAATGTAAGAAATGAAACTACAAAACTCTTAGAAGAAAACACAGGAGATTTAAATTGTGTGTGTGTGTGTGTGTGTGTGTGTGTGTTGGAGTTTCACTCTGTTGCCCAGACTAGAGTACAGTGGCATGATTATGGCTCACCACAGCTTTGACCCCCTGGGCTCATGATCCTCCCACCTCAGCCACCAGAGTAGCTGAGACTACAGGCACACACCACCATGCCTGACTAATTTTTTAAGTTTTTGTAGAGATGAGGTCTTACTATGTTGCCTAGGCTGGTCTGGAACTCCTGGGCTCAAGCAGTCTTCCTGCCTTTGACTCCCAAATTGCTGGGATTACAGGTGTGAGTCACTAAGCCTGGTTGAGATTTAAAATTTTTATGGCTGTAGGTTAGGCAAAGCCTTTTTAGATATGACACAAAAAGCCCTAGGACCAAAAAAAAAATTATCAAAAATGTTTGTTTTGTGAATGATACCATTGAGAAGGTGAAAAGAGCCACAGGATCGGAAAAAATATTTGCAAATCATTTATAATGGTCTGGTATCCATAAACTAGACACAAAAGACCACATATTACATGATTCCATTTATAGGAAATGTCTAGAATAGGCAAATCTGTAGAAACAGAAAGTAGATTTGTGGTTGCCTAGAGTTAGAGGTGGCACTTTGGGGAGAAATGGGGCATGACTGCAAAGGGGTACATGGTATCTTCTTGGTCTAATGAAAATGGCCCAAAATTTATTGTGGTGATAGATGCACAAATCTGTGGATATATGAAAAATCACTGAACTGTATAAATGGTTGAGCTATATGGTATGTAAATTATAGTTCAATAAAACTATTGAAAATACAAGTAATTTGTACATGATTAAAAGCACCATAAGAAAAGACAGGAAATAACATACAAACTGGAAAAAAAAATTGTGGTTTATATCACAAAGACTTTTTTCCTTGATCTAGAACAAACACCTAGAAATCAACTAAAAAATTACAACAACCCAATAGAAAAATTAGCAGAGTAGGCCGGGCTCGGTGGCTCAACCTGTAATCCTGTGCCTTTGGGAGGCTGAGGTGAGTGGATTGCCTGAGCCCACGGGTTCGAGACCCACCTGGGCAGCGAGACCTCATCTCTACAATAAATCAAAAAATCAGCCGGGCGTGGTAGCGCATGCCTGTAATTCTGGCTACTTGGAAGGCTGAGGCGGAAGGATCGCCGGAGCCCAGCAGGTCGAGGCTGCGGTGGCCGGGAGCGGCCACTGCACTCCAGTCTGGGCAACAGAGTGAGACTCCAACTCAAAAAAAAAAAGGAAAGGAAAAACTAGCAGAGTATATGAAAAGGAAATATTATAAATGTATTTATGAACCATGAGAGGATGCTCTCTCTTCCATAATAAAGGAAATGCAAATTAGAAGTACCCTGAGACACTTTTTACATCTCAGATTGGCAAAAGTATAACAGTTTGATAACATACTCTTGGTAATGTGGGGAAATGTGAATTCTAAAAAATTACTAATCCTATGTAAATTTAGTACTATCCTTATGGAGGCAAATTAGCAATATAGAGTAAAATTACAAATATATATATATATACATACATACATATACCATTTGACCTGGTAATTCTATTCCTGAGGCTTCATCCTACAGATATACTTGTACACATGTAAAATGAAATATATACAAAGTTATCTCTTGCAATATTTTAACAGCAAAAGATAAAATATTGTAAAAGTTCATCAATAGGGAACTGGCCAAATCAATATATATATGCTACATCCAGACAATGGAACACCATGCTGCTATAAAAAAAAATGAAGATGTTCTCGGCTTTTCCACACTACCTGCAGAGGGGTCCATTCGGCATTGTTCTCAATTCCCATCGTAACTTAAAGGGAAACTTTCACAATGTCTGGAGCCCTTGACGTCCTGCAAATGAAGGAGGAGGGTGTCCTCAAATTCCTTGCAGCAGGCACCCACTTAGGTGGCACCAACTTTGACTTCCAAATGGAACAGTACACCTATAAAAGGAAGAGTGATGGCATCTACATTATAAATCTGAAGAGGATTTAAATGGGAGAAGCTTCTGCTTGCAGCTCGTGCCATTGTTGCCATTGAAAACCCTGCTGATGTCAGTGTTGTATCTTCCAGGAATACTGGCCAGCGGGCTGTGCTGAAGTTTGCTGCTGCCACTGGAGCCACTCCTATTGCTGGCCGCTGTACTCCTGGAACCTTCACCAACCAGATCCAGGCAGCCTTCTGGGAGCCCCGGCTGCTGGTGGTTACTGATCCCAGGGCTGACCACCAGCCTCTCACAGAGGCATCTTATGTTAATCTGCCCACCATTGCTCTGTGTAATATAGACTCTCTTCTGCACTGTGTGGACATTGCCATCCTGTGCAACAATAAGGGAGCTCACTCAGTGGGTTTGATGTGGTAGATGCTGGCTTAGGAAGTTCTGCGCATGCGTGGCACTATCTCCCGTGAACACCCGTGGGAGGTTATGCCTGATCTCTACTTCTACAGAGATCCTCAAGAAATTGAAAAGAAAGAGCAGGATGCTGCTGAAAAAGCTGTGATCAAGGAAGAATTTCAGGGTAAATGAATTGCTTCACCTCCTGAGTTCACTGCTACTCAGCCTGAGGTTGCAGACTGGTCTGAAGGTGTGCAGGTGCCCTCTGTGCCAGTTCAGCAGTTTCCTACTGAGGACTGGAGCACTCAGCCTGCCACAGAAGACTGGCCTGCAGTTCCCACTGCTCAGGCCACTGAATGGGTAGGGACAACCACTGAGTGGTCTTAAGCTCTTAAGCAACACAGAAATAAGGTTGCAGAAAATAAACTTGTTTCTAAGAAAAAAAAAACAATGAAGATGTTCTCTATGTACTGATAATGAAAGATCTCCAAGGTATGTTATTTTTTAAATAACAGCCTATTGAGATATAATTTATATACAATTCACTCTTTTTTAAGAGACATGGTCTTGCTATGTTGCCCAGGCTGGCCTATAACTGGGTTTCTTGAACTCTTCCCACCTTGGCCTCCGAGTAGCTGGAACTGACAGGTGCATGCCACC